TATTTTAAGGTTTCTTATCTTGATGCATAGGGTCAACTTATTTACATTGTTAGAAGTACGAATTAGATTAAAGAGACACATAAAGGTACTCTAAAAATGGAAGAGAAAAAGAGGTCTGAAGTGCTTTCCAATGCATTCAAGTTTTTCTGGTTATTTAAATGATGTATATACAAAATCAGTAAAATCAGGTTTTGCCCCCCAAAAAGAAACATGCTGTTGGCCAGTTCTGAATTATATAACTTAAACCAGAACTCTACTGAATAACAGTTTTGTTTTGCTGGCTTTGGTGTATTAAAATGTGAGATGAAACAAACAATAGTAGTGTAACATCTGCTTGAACTTTGGCAGTCCTAGTTAGGATATCATCAAGCAGCGCTAGCTCTGTGCTTGTCTTTCATCAGAAGTATTATTGATCATTAATGCCAAGATGAAAAATAAGAGGTAGCAGTTCACATAAGAAAACATTTGGATGGCAGCTGTTCTACATTAGGTGTAGTTAATGGTCATGTTAGCAACCACAAATGTAATATTTACATCCATTGAAATAACAGAATTGATTAAATGGGAAAAGAGCAGAGTGATACCAGCTGCTCTGGAGCAGTGTTCTTTGTAAATTTGACTGATGTTGCTTGGGCATGTCTTGGATCAGCTAAATATTAGTAAGAAGCTGGAAAAAAAAATGACATCAAGGCAAGCAGTTCATTACTTTTCTTGAGAAAAAAAAAAAGAAAGAACATCAGTGAATTTGCCTCACTGTGTAAGCTCAGTATAGATTGACAATGTAGGAAAGTCATAGGTTATGATTAACATTAATAACACTTACATTGCTAAAGCAGTTGGCAGATATCAGCTAGAGATTCATTTAGAAACATGGCTTGTAGCTACTGAGAGTGGTATTCAGCACCAGATACTTTGTATTAGAAATTTTCCCTGTCAAGTAAATGAAATTAGTTTTGCTTGCAGAAAAACATAAAGTAACAGAACAAAAGAAATGGGATGCAATCTGGGGTCCCAGAGATATGAAGAGTTTCTATTGAAAAGAATCTATAACATCTATCTACAAGTGTAAAATCTTTTTCTTGTTTTACTTTTTCGCAGTAGTGGATGTGTATGGATTTTCCTCTCTTATTCTTAGTAATAATAAAAAAAATCCCCAAAACCAAACAAACACACACCAACAAAAAAACAACTAAAAAAAAAAAATTCCCTAAAAAGTTTTCCACCCACGTATTATCATATTAACAAAATACACCCAGTATTGTTACCTGACAGGCAGCTATCAATGTCTTCTTTCCTTTTCTATTATTCTGGTCAATAGCTTATTTTCTACTATTTTTTCTATTCCTGTCTATATGAAAAAGGATCAGTTTTTCCCTGGTCAGTGTTTTTTGTGGGTTCCTTTTATTCCAGAACCTGACATTAGAACTTCATAGGAAAAAAGAACATTGTTTGTCTATTCTCTATCAGAAATCTTTGCTATTGCAGACACCACTTTGAACTGTTAGTTCATTATGGATATGTGATTGTTTTCATCTTTTCATACTCCAGCAATGTTCTTAGTTGTCTGTGGAACTACAGAGTCAAAATATGCATATGCTGAGAACTTCATGGTGAAGGACAAAATAACTGAAGGATAAAATACCTGACTACAGAGTCAAAATATCCATATGCTGAGAACTTCACGGTGAAGGATAAGATACCTGAGAAAACTGGAGACCTCTTTTATACACTACAGATGTCAAAGCAAAAAGGCATACCATGTTTGCCCTGATTTGATTAAAAAGCAAACCAAAAAACAAAAAGGCAACTGGCCAAGTTATTCCCTCCAATTTCTGATATGGTGTGTTTGAACATTAAAATTATAAAAGTAGAATTCATTATGGAATAGTGAAAACAACTTCTAATACCTTATTAAGTACTTTGGCTGCGCACTCTAGTAACAAATTTTAGATACATATGGAATGTATCACTGCCTGAAATCAATGCCTTTGCAGTAGAGCTTAAGACCACGTGTACTGATCTCATTGTGAGAGACTTTATTTCAGTGGGTTTGCAGTTGATACACAACAGTTTTGCAAATGCAAATCTGGGAAATATAAATGCCAAGGATACAAGAAGCAAGTAACTCCAGAGCATGGCAAGGCCCTGTTTGTGAAGTCTGCACTGTACATATTTATACAGGACATTACAGAAATAGATACAGTTTTAAAAGTTATTTTCTGATTCTGTAATGTATTTTTTTTAATAAGACAGAACACATTACTTCATGTTGCCATAATTACCATTGACCTTAATTATTTGCCTATTAAGATGGTTTTCATCTAATTAAAGATGAACTGTCTCCAAATAAAATAGTGAAAATGTTCCATATTACTTCACTCTGTAGCAATAATTTGCTAAGAAAGATAAATGACTCTGGATGGTTTCAAGAGGATATCAGCCAGAACTGCTTTTAAATACCTACTTTGCTGGTTGAGAGCTTTAGAAGAACAGAATTGGAACCTTGTATTCTCTGTCCTTTCTGTCCTTCCAAGCTCAAGGGAACACTGATGGCCTCTGGCTCTGTTCACTCAGGAGCATCTAACCTCTAGCATCCAATTTAGTCATTGTAGTCTTTCTAGCACTTAAACTAGCTTTCATTCTACTTTGTGGCACTGAAAAATAGCTGTTAAGAAAGCTGCCAGTTTGACAACTCTGGCTGTTGGAGCTGAGCAGTGTCAATGAAAGGTGGGCTTTCTCTGTAGAGTTGGACTTAGAGCTTCAAGTTTCAAATGCCACTACAATGAAATGGGAACAAGTTTCCAATTTGGTTGAATCCCTGAAAGAGTTTGAGTCAGCTGACAATTAGTGTTACATTTCACTTTACAGGTTTAATTCTTCATTATGCCTTGTTAAAACTGTGGCTCCTGACAGGACTGAAATATGGATCAGGCACTGGAAATAAAGGGCTGATAGAGAAAACAGTAAGCCAGTGGGTACCAACTGATGGGGTGAATTTTACTGATCATGTACTAGCATATTTCAGTTGCAGCTCGAGGCTGTCCTGGGCTCAGTGGTTTTGCTTATGCCCTCTTATTCATTGTTCTTTCTGCTTTCCATATGTTGATGCAGCAGTTTAGACAGCATTATGTAGCCTTCACATATGCTAGTGCCATGCTGCTTGGCAAAGCTGCATCCCCAAGACTTTCCTATCAGTGTTGATTTGCTGACTGATAAGGGGAGTTGAAAGGAAAAAGAATGACATGCCAGTAACCAAAAGCAGAATCTATGATTCCTAGTCACCTGCCTATTTTCTGCTTTCAAAGTCCCTTGAGTTATGTGATCTCAATGGGAATAAGAGACAGGGAAGCACTGTACAGATTACGGAGTGAAGGAGAGCAAGAAGAGAACACAGACAAAAAAGAAGAAAAAGCTGTAAGTCTCTGCTGCCATAAATTGTTCCACCATACCATGGGCACAGCCATTTTAGGCTGAGAAAGTTGGGGTTGTTCAGCCTGGAGAAGAGAAGGCTGTGTGGAGACCTCATAGCAGCCTTCCAGTAACTGAAGGGGGCCTATATGGATACTGGGGTGGGACTCTTCATTAGGGACTGTAGTGATAGGACAAGGGATAATGGGTTAAAACTTAAACAGGGGAAGTTTAGATTGGATATAAGGAGGAAATTCTTTCCTGTTAGGGTGGTGAGGCACTGGAATAAGTTGCCCAGGGAGGTTGTGAATGCTCCATCCCTGGCAGTGTTTAAGACCAGGTTGGATGAGGCCTTGGGTGATAGAGTTTAGTGTGAGGTGTCCCTGCCCATGGCAGGGGGGGTGGAACTTGATGATCTTAAGGTCCTTTCCAACCCTAACTATTCTATGATTCTATGATTCTATGATCTAGTTATGGACTCCTCTTCTGGACCCATTCCGTGGGTATGCTGGGCAGCATAACCCTCCTGGAGGCACTGCTTGGCAGCTAAGAAAGCAGAGGTGCTACACAAATATTCCTAAACTTTACAGCAGTCAGAGATTTTCTTGACTCAGTAAAATTCATCAGTGGGTAGTTCTCTAGACAGCATCTCCTGTTTTATAGTAGAAAGTAAATGTAGAAGATTATGAAATTTTAATCCTGAAGTTTTTGTGGCACTGGAGTTTGAGATTGTGTGGAACTGAACACTGACTGAGACTTGACTTCAAATGATTCAGGAATTGCTGAAATATTAACAATATTTTATTACTAGAATTGAGTTCTTTTTTTGCTTCCAAATTCCTCTTCCTCAGTGAGGTTTCACTGTTTTAATCTTAATCTACCTGAGCAGCCTTTTCAATTAATATTGTACTTCAGTGATGACATGAATGTATAAGACTACTCTACTATAGCAGTCCATCTTAGGGGAGGCAGGTTTGTGAGTGGTTTCTGTGTAGGAATAATATCCTGTCTTATCTGAAGTGCAGGTATGAAAAGAAAACTGGGTTTTACTGTAAAACATTCATTATGAGAGTGTGTTAAAAAAAGAAAAAAGAAGTTGCAATTGTTGATCTTTCATTTTCAGCTACCTAGAAATTTGGAAAGCATCAATGTTTTTAATGCTCTTCTATACATAATTAGCGTAACCATTGAATCAGCTTTTGGCTTGAATGCATTTATAGAGAACATTACTATATTAATTTAAAAAGACATTAATCATTATGAAGAAAGTCAAGCTATTGACCCTCATGGGGGGGAAAATGCAGGTTTTATTTGAGTTCCAGTGTGAATATTTGTGCACAGGGTCTTGAAAAAGTAAATCAAAACAAAGTCATAAGCTAGTCATTAGAACTGAAAGCTTCAAGCAGCACTAGAATTATTTTTTTAACTCGCTTTCACATTTGAATGTCAGCACACTGATGAGTGTAGAGGATACAATGGGTAGACCTGTCAAAATTAACTCCTTTTAAACAGCAAAATACATCAACTGAAATTTCTTTCTAACACCCTTATTGACTTCCTTTATTTTTTTGTTTTTAATTTTTTTTTCACAGAGGATCTTTCTCAAAGCTGGAAGTGAGGAAGAAATCTTTGCTCATCTTGGTTTGGATTATGTTGAGCCATGGGAAAGGAATGCTTAAAATGATTTGCCAGTATACATTAACGAATTGACAGCAATGGTCTTTCTACATACCCAGAGTCTTGTTTAGATATATATATATATATATATATATATATAAAATATGCATCTCTGTGGCAACTAAAAATTTTAAAATGCATATATATTAGTTAGAAGCCATTATACATGCTGATGAAAAGGATGGAAAGAAGAGTTTAAGTTCTTCAGATTCCTTTCTAATCTTTTCTGCTTTAGTTTTTCAGAATTTCTACATGGGATTGACAAGATAGTGCTTGCTTTTGGGGGATTTTTCTTGTGGTAGGAATTTAATGTTCAAGTGGAAAATACTTGCAAAGCATTTACTGCTTTGGGACATGAAGTTGCTTACTGACATTCATTTGTCATTCATAGAATAAAGGTGATTATGAACACCAAACTGGTCAAATACTTTTATTAAAAGCCAGTTTGTTTTTTTTCTGTTAAGTCTGATTTGACATCTTGGCATGATGGAGAGAATGGCAGTGACAGGGCCATGCAGAAAGAAAAAGTATGCTGAATTTGTTTACTGGTTCCTTTCAACTGAGGACTGCATTGTAATCTATTCTAACGCCTCAGTCAGGGATGTAGAAAAGTATGATAACAGCAGGGAATTTTATTCTTGCCTGTGCTGATAAAACCATCCTTTTTAAGTGCACTTTTGCTAACTGAGCTGAAAATACAATGCTACTTTCTAAATTGATCTAACGAGAAAGCACTAGCATTACTTCCTGCTTTATTTTGCTGATGTATGAAGCACCTTCTCTGTTTTGTATCAGGATGCTGACACTTAAGGAGCAATGACATTTTTCAGTCCTAGTGGAAGAGAACAAAAGCTATGATATCTCATCTAAATATTCTTTCTACTTGGCCAACATTTATCAGAAATCATACATTTCAGTTGTGCTTTTTCTGCATACTTTAAGCCACAGAGGAAATATGAAACATTCTGATTTCCACATGAAGAAATAACTCCCATCTTGCCTGCTTATGCATAATTTATAATTATACCACCTGTGGGGGAGAAGATACTAAACACAAATTCTGTCAGCTCCTTCAAGATTGGAAGAAAAGAGTGTGTCACTTCTTTCCCTCAATTTTTCTGAACCTTTGTTATAATACATTTTACAGATTACTCACTGGATCAAGTATTATCAAAAATTATGGAACTGTTAAATGAGGGTTGGATTAAACAGAAGGCCAGATTAGGTGACCAGGATGGTTTGGCTATGAAGAAGATAGCTTCTGTTATGAACACCTCCTTTGAAAAGGCTGGTATCCCAGTCATTATCATAGTTACTGTATGCAGGATCATCCCTGATAGCACTCCCTACTCACTGTCATACAGTGGCAGAGTCAGAAAAAACATAAATTCAGTTTTTAGTAAATAAACTGTGAACCATGATGCTTCTTGCATCAATTAAATATAGTCATACAGTTCTGAACAGTTTTAGTCCTGTAATGATTTCAGTTCTTGATGGTGCTAGTCAACTGAGACTATAAATAGATAGATGTCATATAAAAGAACTGGTATGGAACAGGTTAAAGGACATAAAACCTTTAGCAGATAAAAATGCCTGGATCCGCCTGCAGTGTGGTGGAACTGTTACAGTCAATGGTAGATGATGCTTCTGAACTCATGAAGGACAGGTGAGGCCTGGGGCCTGGAAAAGGGCAAATGCTTGTAAAAAGAACAGGCCAATGTCTGTAATAGGAGGAAGGGAAGAAAGAATTTCAGATCAGTGCACTTAATATCTACTAAATTGCTAGAATGATTAATAGACTTTATTTTTAAAGCACCTAGAGGAAAATAAAGTGATAAGTTATTGGTAGCTTGTTCATTAGAAACAAATCACATCAAACTAATTCAGTTGTAAAGTCCCTGGAGGCTGATTCTTAAAATGTCTGTCCCTCCTCCCCTGCCTTCTACACCAAGGCAATTTGACAAGAACTAAGAGGAGAGGGATCGTTGGTTCTGTAAGCATCTACATACTAACTCTCTAAAAACTTATCAGTGACTGGCAAAAAAAACTGGGTAAAAGTTAAAAACACTGTATTTCTTTCATGGTTTATGGTAATTTGTGATTTGTCAAATATCCTGATAATGTTTTCCAGTGACAAAAATATATGTATAACATACATTGTATAGGCAACATAATGTAGGCCTTAAAAAACCCAAACAAACCCAAATACACTATTATACAAATGCTTTGCTGCAAATGTCTTAAAGCAAAAGCAATGAGATATTTAGATTGGTGGGTACCAATGTAGTTAATATCAGTGAATCTTGGTGGCATATTCTACTAAAGGAAGATCTTATTGTATCTACACAACTCTACAAAATTGTAAATCCAGGCAATTTAAATACTCATACAGCTGTCAATATAAATTTGAAGCCGCACAGACTTTCTGGAAATTACTGGAAACCTGAGAGCTGCTGCTACTACTTTACATAATTAACTTCAGAACTTAAAACAAAAAGAACCCTAAACCCAAAGATTTGCATAGCTTGTAATCCCCAAATGAAATGTGTTTTCTATACTTTAAGGTCAGAATTGCTTGGATTTCTCAGGTAAGACTGTTATTCCTTAGTGTGGAACGTATTTTTTCACTTTTTGAACAGCTGTTTCTTTCTTTGATACAGTTTCTGTCAGCAACTGAAGTTAAAATAATCAAGTCCTAAGTGTAAAAGGTTAATGGAAGTCATATAAACGAATGAACGCAGGGATCTCTGAAAACCTTCCATAGAGGTTAAGCTTCTGCTGGCGTGGCTGTAAATTTATCCAGGAGACAATGCTTCTGGCTTTGCCTTTTAGACCCCAATAGAGGCCATACCTATGAAAATGTCATGTGTATAGCTATAGGTGAGACAGGGTTTCAGAGATTTCCACTTGTAAATTTGTCTAATTGGCTGATCTGCCCCTGCATACACATCAAGCCTCCTTTAAAAAAAAAAAAAAAGAAAAGAAAAAAACTAAAATAATTCATTTTACAAAGAGAACCAAGCAATCTTTGCCACTGCTGTGTAGATACACAAAGGAAAAAAGAAAAAAGATTATTTCATAGTTGAGTTAGTATTTCCCCTTTAGGTTCCCCCTTACGATGAATTGTCTCATGCCTGTTTACAGCTTCTTTTGTCTGATTTGTTGTATTTTACATTCGGTCTGTCAAATTCTAACTCTGGATTTGTTCTATTTATTTTAAATTAAAAATCTGGACCTTTGAATGGGGAAATAGAGTGTTTTCAGGTGTCTTATATTTCTGCCATAAGTCTACTGTGAATGTGTGGCCCCACATCTTGCTCAGGTGTCTATGATGTGGCTTGCTCTAGGATTGCCTGCTCTTGATAACTAGATTACCAGACCTGTCTCCACAGATTATTTGTTCCACATTTCATTTCACTCCACCATTTCAGCTCCTCTTTACTGTATGTGACATTAGAGTGATTTGTAGCTAGAATATGATTCTGTGGTGGCCAAAATAAAGCATCCAACATTAAACTCACAAATCTCGCAAAGAATTAATCAGCTTCCCCCTAGTTTTTGCTTCTTTCAGTTTGCATAGTTATTTCCTTTTTTGAAGGTGTGGAATATAGTAAAAATGTATTTTGTGCCACTTTGGCCTAAGGCGCTCCACTAAAAATAAATGTTCTCTTTTCTGGTATCCCCTCAGACAATGTCAAATCAAAACCAGGAAAGAATTCCCTGCATGAATGCTGTTCAAATCCCTTCAGAATACTTATTTTTAAAATACATGTAATGACTTCAATAAATGTGTGTTATAGGAAACCCATAAAATGTAACACTATTTTTCACCTAATGCCTCCAAACAAATAGTATGCTCAAATACTACAGACAATCTATATGAGTTGCATTGTGGGGGCTACTGAACTACATATCCCAGAATGAGAAGTGCCTTGGTTAATGTTACGTCACTGGATAAAGATCAGTCGTGCAGCTGGTGACTGACTAGGGGAGAGAGATTATGTGTTGGGGAAGTATGAAGGCTCCCTGTTTGCTGTGTTTTAGCACGTAAACAAACTTATTTGGAAAATAAGCTACTTTTTTGTTATTAAATTGCTTCAGGTATTTGATTCTAGTTCCTTTGCAGCAAAAGCTACTGCTAAATGTTACAATGCCTTTTTTGTTGCTTTCTCTCTAAAGTCAACACGTTAATTCAAAGGGATTTTTGGAAATGGTGAAACTTCCCAATTCCTTTGCCATCATTTTTGAAGTTACAGAGGGAAAACACTTAAATGAAAGCAACCCAGAAGCATTTCTATTAAATAAAGATAGCCTTTCTAGCAGGAATAACATTACTCCATGTATTTGTTGCTATATATACACACACTGTATCAAAACTGTCATCAATTTTTTGTTAGTGTCTTATTAGATATAATAGAAAATTGAAAGAAAAGTCTCAATTTTTAAACACTAGGTGATTTCTCTGCCAGGGAATATGTAGATTATCTTCCAGAAATTGGTGGTTGCAGCCTTGGGGGAAAAGGAGCACATAATACAAACTTTATCCCAGCACTTAGAAGATAAAATGGTAATCTCTATATATTTGCAATCATTAAAAGACATATGATTTGGAATTGTCTTCACAGCTGGGTAGAGAGGACTGATGATTTTATATAGCTTAAAAAATGGAGCTTGACAAGGTTATGTAATTGTGTGACAATGTAGGAGTGTTTCTACAGTTCAAAACTGTTGCTGATGATACAAGTCTTAACGTTTGCAATTTTTGGAAGCCTAAGGATGGGTTGAAAGACCATATGGTCATGCAGCTTCCATAACTATACTCTGAATCCAACATTTCAATATGCAGTGGCTAGGAAACTTTGCTTTTGCACTCCTCTGAAATGCAAAAGATCAGACAACAGTGAGCAGGACAGCAAGGATATACTGCTTCTGGTGATCCTGAAATCCTTGAGTTCTGGTTTAAATTATATTATGATATATGAGTTGGTATTCTTTTTTAAACTAAACTATCAGAGTTATAATTTGGCCTTTTTGCCTTTTACAGTATGCTTTTATATGTGTTAAAGTCTGCTAGAAAT